CTAATTCTCTTATCCTTTTTAATCTACCTGTGAGCAAGGATAGATTACTTGAAGAAACGAGCCCTGTTTGATCAGGAACAGTGGCCCAACTTGTGCGATAAATTAGGTCTGAACATCAGTCCGGCGAAATTGTGCGGGCTGTACAGGGATTTGCACACGCTTCACGATAAGACACTCCTAACAAGAGTTACATTGGACTCTGCCGAAAAGGCCGAAAGAATACTAATAATGGCTCAGGTACTAGCCATCGACAGAAGTTCTACCATAAGGTGAGACATGACAGACCATGGGCTAACAGACAAATGGCGAGGGAGTCACCGGAACTGATGCCTTCTACCTCTATGGTTGTACACGGTGTTCCGGAGCTAGAAACCAGCACTGCTTGTGAAAAACGTATGCGTGACGTAAAGCAATGGAGATGACTGTCATCTCAGATGGCCCTTAATGCTTCGGGAGTAATCTGGATTTTCCGACTACGTCGCCCCGCTCATCTCACACTGATTGGTTCCCCAAGGCTGCTAAGTGTAAAATTCAACTATCAGGAGCAGTTGGCCATAGCACTTCAACGGTGGTAAGAGACCAAGGAAAACATGAGAGGACACATCCGATTCTGCGAAAGCAGACCCCGAACCATCCATTGGAATCGGCCAACTAGTCCCCACATTAAGTCCCTTACCATCAGATAGCTTCACGTCAACTACCCCACAACACACTGAGGTTGTGAGACTCACTGTCAGCTGCCTATATAGCAAAGTGAGGGGGCTGTGGGGAAAAGTAGGCGAACTCCGAAATCTCCAAGCACAACACAACTTAAAATAATGATTCCCACTGAAACCTGGCTAACCCTCACTATCTCCGACAACGAAATGAGTATAGGTGATATGGTTCTAGTCAGGAGAGACAGGGATAATGAGGAAGGAGGTGGAGTTGCTTTATACTTTGACGGGCAACTTAAATGTATACGCGCAAAGGACCCACCACTTATTGAACTCCCAGACTCCATATGGTGTCATTTCATCGTAGGCCACACCAAGCATTTACTGGGTGGCATCTACCGATCAACCACCTGTGGGGCAGAGCACAACCAGCTACTGCTCAGCACCATCACAGGGATACGGGACTTGGGCTATGACCAAATCACCATTGCTGGAGATTTCAATGCCCCATCAATGAACCTTGGTTCGGGGTATGCTAAGGGAAAATTCGACCGAAACCTACCGCAAACTATTTGAAATACAGGACTGACTGAGAGTGTTGGAGACGACACTAGGTGGGGCCCTAGTGGAAAGTCAGCAAAACTAGACTACATTCTAACTAGTGACCAACTACTCGTCGAAAAGGTTCAGATCATGACTCCTCTAGGAAACAGTGACCATGCAGTCATAGGATTCGATCTTGTTCTCCGTGAGCACTTGCAGTGGGACGTTACGCGATCATGTTTGTGTTATAGCAAGGCGGACTATGCTGAAATGTGGAGGCTTTTGTCCGACGCAGACTGACCCTTGGCATGGGATGAGCTATATGTGGATGAACACTGAGAAGTGGTTAAAGAGATTATTCTCGCATACTGTCGTCAGACAGCTGACAGCTGCATTTCAGATCCCACTGACTCATTCGACGGTAAAATTCTGCTCCTGCATGCCTCTTTCGACATTTTTGTATGGATTGGTTCGCAGTTACCCTGGTTCCAGACCGAAAAGAATCAAAAAGTCACTGGTTGCTGAATTGTTATTACTTCTCAGCTGTGGTGAGCCTCTTGCAGATTATATTGCTTAAAACATCGTTTACGGTAAACTAACTGACGTTTTATAAGCCATTTTTATACTTTCGTGAGTAGCCCACCATATCGACGAAATGTAACGCAACACTCAGTTGTAACCCTCATGTTCAACAAATTCAAACAATAATTGTACCTAGGATTATGCCATATGAACTGTTTTAGCTTATGCAGAGTGCACTTACGGTCAATATCCCACTATCTTCCCTTGTATATATATATATATCGTGTTAGTGAAAAATTTTAAACATGCTTACTCCATGTGTGCAGTACTATCGTATTGATGATGTCTGTCAAGTGGAGTCCCTCATGTGCATAAAGTGAGAATATATTATTAAAGACGCATTTTATTGTTTAACGAGGGAATTGACTTCAAGCTTTATTTATCTTTCCAAGTATCTGTAATCCATCCAATGCATACTTGGGTTTTTTTGTTAATGCGAAGTCAATATCTCTATATTTTTTGATGTGTTCCATTGAGTCACCAGCTATCAGATTTTTCCCACAAACTAAAGATAAAATGATAGCAATCATGTTATTTAACCGTAAATCATGTAATTTAAATATGCGACTTAAGTGATACTTATCCATGCCTATACAACTTGTGTGTCCTATATTTGAATGAATAAATATGTACCTTATTATATTATCATTACTAACTACACTTACTAATCGTATTTGTAATTTATCGAATTGATGATGCCTGTAAACTGGCGTCCCTTATGTACAAAAATGAGGATATATTATTATTATTATTATAAGAGTCAGATCGACAACGACGCATACCTGGAACTCAGGAACCGGTGCAACGTGAGAGTCAGGAGTGACAGGAGGTTATTCCAGGCTAACCTTGCCAAAAACTCCTAGCAAACCCCATAAACTTATATCGATTCATATCGGAAAAAATCAACCAGTCAGGAGAATGTGCCTTGGTAGGCCCAGACGCTCAATATCTCACTAGTCTGGAGATGGCTGAAACATTCAGTTTAGCCTTCGCCAAACAGCTAAACAGTAATGTGGGTATTACCGTCATGGACCAAAATGGTGGCACCACTATTTCACGGGAGGAAGACCTAATGGCTACTCCCCAAATAAAACTGGAAATAGCACTAGGGAAGCCACAGCGATTCACACCTGGGAAGTCCCCAGGTTATGACGACATCAGGCCATCTGTTCCGAAACGGTGCGCCAAAGCTCTCTATGGGCCCTCATGCGACTTGTTCTAACACTCGATGGATTCGGGGAAACTGCCAAGGGAGTGGAAAAGAGCCATCCTTTCTCCTATCTTCAAAAGTGTGGATGGGCAAAATGCCACTAGTTATAGACCAGTGGTATCAAAAGTACTGGAAAGCATTGTTGACGATCACATCAGGGAATACCTCGATAGGTCTAATATCCTCCGTGAAGCCCAACACGGTTTCAGGAAAGGTAGATCCTGTGCAACAAACTTACTATCAGCTTGCGATGATTGAACTTCATGCTGGGATATGAATATTCCAGTCCATGTGGTCTCCCCACACTTTGAAAAAGGCACTGGATACAGTTCACCATGACATTCTCCTACACAAAATAAGTCAGGCAGGTGTAAGCAAACCACTTCTGTCATAGCAAAAGGACTACCTAGCTGAAAGGCAATTTTGCACTAAGGTCAATCGAGTTCGATCATCTTGGCACAACTCGTCATCAGGAGTGTCACAGGGTTCTATCCTGAGACCAGTGATGTTCTTGATTTTTATCAGTGATCTACCATGCCGTCTAAGCTGCCCAACTCTTCTATACGCTGACGACGTAAAGATATGGAGGTCGATAAAGTGTCCGGAGGATTCAGATAGGCTGCAGGCAGATGCGAAGCTTCTGCAAGACTGGGCGGTGGCCAGTGGCATGACTTTCAACCTGAAAAATCGCAAAGTAGTGAAGTTACGCACCTGTAGACTGCAGAATTCAAGTTACACCCTGTACAATGGAAGCTTGTCCTGCTCAACGTCGGAACGTGACTTAGGTCTAGTTCTAACGGAGAAAATGGACACAAGCGTAAATTACACGGGGATGTAGCGAGGGCATATGCGGTCATGCACTTTACACATAGACAATTAGGTGCACTCATTCCTGGGCTCTTTCTAAGGTTGTATAAATCATTCGTCAGACCGCATCTTGAAGTGCATAATATCATTGCACCCCCACTGCTTAAAAGAGACGCCAACCTCTTGGAAAGAGTCCAAAGACGGGCAACAAAAGGAGTGGTTGGTCTCCAAAATAAACCATATGATGAAAGGCTGAAGAAATTAGGCCTATTCACCCTTAGCTACCGCCAGCTTAGGGGGATTTAATTAATGCCTACAAAATGACAAATGACCAGAATCACCCAAACAAAGGTGTTCTGCCATTGAGTAAGTATAAGCTCCCTCGTGAAAATCCCAGAAGGGTAGCTCGCCAGAAGGCAAGGACCCGGGTGTGCTCCCACTTCTTCTCGCTGCTGGTTTGCCGTCCTTGGAATTCCTTACCGGCAGATGTAGCCATGGCACCGTCTGTGGACGCTTTTAAGCGAAGGCTGGACAACCATGCAGCAACACAAGGACTGCGTCCAAATGGCCTGTCCCCTTAAAATCCCATACACCATTCAGTGGTAGACAATTAAGTTCGTCGTTTTACTTCTTTACATTTTCTCCCGTCTCACTCTCCTGAAAACTTTAACTACACTTATCATTATTATTTCCAATATATATATATATCAACTTCAAGTTTAATCAGCTGACTGTTGTTACGTTTCCTTATTCTTTTTCTGCCTGTTAGTCTGAATAACTTCACTAAGTATATCTATTATTATTATCTCTTATCTTTTGACGACGATACTGGAGGACTAACTGGTGAAAGGATCAACTCCATTCAAAGTAATAACAGCCTTAACACACCTCATACTACGAACCACATATAATTAATCCCAGCACTACTCCTTTTGGAGTCAATCAAAGCTACGACAGTCGAGTGGCTGGACGAGCTTCGCAGAAGATTGCCGAAGATCAGGAACCTATCCTCACAATCAAGAGGCAAGCACAAAGAAATCAAATTGGTTTATACTAGTTCGTGAAAAGATATTGGATATTGGAGATGAAATGGCTCACAGCTATGACTAAATTTGTGAATTTTGTTTTTTCCATCTGAGAACGAAGTTTATTTTTCTTGCGCAAATTCGAAAAGTGTTATTAAATCTCGCTTAAATGTTGTGATGACAGCTTCGTCTCAAAGCTCTTCTCTGAATAATTTTGAAACTCCGAAATCCGAAGTGACTTCAGAAACAGAAAATCTGTCTCACACTTCGTATCATGCATCATTTAATGCATATCCACTGGAATGCTCACCAAATCTTCTAAACCCTACCAACGAAGTAATATACATGCCCTTAAATCCAACAAATGTTCCTCTATCACTTCAACCAGCAAGCGTTTCCAGTGAAACACAGCATGAACTTCCACAAAGCTACAGTCGCCCAATATGTCATGGGTTCATTTTTCCAAACTCATTAGACGGCATAAATGATGATAGTTTAGGTCACGCAAGTATGCCGGATGTTCAGGATAATTCAGAAAATGTATTTCATAGCATACAAAATCAGGTTTTAGGTCAAAATATAAGCGACTTAGATTACAATGCTCAGAGGCAGCTACAACTTCTGTTGCTCCAGAAACTGATTGAACTACAACTTGCACAATATTATGATACGCTCAAAAGTACCATTCCACTGCAAAGCCAGTCGAACATTCAGTCTCAAAATCAAGAACCGCTCCCAAGCAATGTTCAAAATTTTGGCTTAAATGAGCATCCTAATCAAAACTGGGCTGTAAATAGTGAACACTCAGATATGTCTACATTTCTAGTACCAGTTGAAGCCAAGTTTGAAGGAGAAAGTGGTCTTTCGTTACATATAACTCCAAGAGATGACAGTAGTAATACTAGCCAAAAAGGTTCCGTTACTGTAGAATGTCCGGGTCAGCCTATTGTGCTATACCCGTATACTGTTCAACATGATGTTCCACAAGAAGAAACATCTCCCGTTAGTCAATCAATTAATGACTCGTATGCAAGTGGTCCAACTGCGCAGGCACTAACGATAAAAGATATACACCAGTGCATACGCAAAGGCTCATTTGAGTTTACTCCTGAATCTAGTAATGATATAGTTGAGAGTATACGGGGTCATACGAGACCTGGATTTGTGTTATTGAGTGTACGACATGAAAAGATAAAAGCAAGAAACTTAATCTCACCAAGTTCTGAATCAGGTCTTAAGAAAATTCGTTCATCCCCCAATTTGGGAACAGCGAACTCTGAAACAAAGACAGGAAGCTTTGGTGCAATGAAAAAATCCAGGAAACGAATGAAATATGCAAAAAGCGAAACAGAACTGAAGAGGCGATCAATGCGACTTTCTCCGAAGTCTCTCTTGGAAAGTACAGTGAGTAATGGTGCAGCTCAATCTCCAGTAGAACTTACGGAAGATGAACTTAAAGCTTTATCGTCACAGTCGAGGTTCAGGGTGACTAGGTTTGCGGACAAGAAACAAGCATGGATAGCTCCTTCAAAAGCAAGCTGCTTGGCTGTACACGATCTATGGACTACTAAACTTCCAGAATATGTATTGAAGTGTGCTGAGCATTTGAAGAATCCAGGTTCTGAGGGATTCATTCAGGAAGGGAAAAATAATACCATACCTTATTCCTTGGAAGCAATTATAAATGGACGTTGTATAGCTTGCCAAAATCAATCCCGTAAGTTGAACATTTTATCACTACAACATATAATTTCCACAGTTTTTCTCCATTCAACCAGGTAGAAACTAAGTTAGGGTTCTCCAAAGTAAATATTGACGGAAAGAAACTCTATTTTCCATAGGCATTCAAACTTCGTTTCATTACACATGTATAGCTAGCTTTCAGATATCTGGATCCGTCTGAATTATCTTGATGCACAACACAGTGCTGACCACTGTGTGAGGCTATTTTGATTTCCTAGTAGAAAATTATGTCTTAAAGGGAATTTTCATTTAGGTACAGAGATACTTAGGTATTCTTACCGAGGCGGTTTCCACATTAATAATCAGAGATTGGTAATTAAAGTAGACTTGAGTTCATAACCCTGAGGCAAAAATAACCCATCATCTGCTAAAACACATATTTGCTTCATCCAAAATAAATTTCGGCTGAAAAGTATTATGAGAGAGTCTAAATGAAAATGGTATTAGTCAGTGAATTCACTGACTACTGCTACAAACAACAGGAAAACGTATTCAAAGCTCGAAATGTGTAGATGGCTTAAAGATGCTAAGGCTTTTTCAGGTATATCCATTGCTTGTCACATTCAGCGTCCTGATTAATTTTTCAGATATTCATTCGGTGTTTTAGTCCACTTCTGTAAACAAAATGATATCCAAAGTAGATTTTCGCTTTTTTGCAATGATTTTAATCGAATTTGCAGCACAAAATGTGTGTGACTTGGAATATAATAATTATTATTATTGTTCACTTGGGTTCCTAGTGTAACATAGGGCTTCAACTGCACGTCTACGCTTGCTTCTGTCTTCTGCTGTACTTTTCACTTGCATCAATGTTAGTCCATACTGTTTCAACTCCTCTACACACGATCTCCTCCATGTCACCATTGGATGTCCCACTCGTCGCTTCTCTTTCGGGTTCCACTCTAGGGCCATACGCGCGATGTTACCCAGCGGCCTCCTCAACGACTGCCCAATCCATCTTCACTTTCTCCTGCATTTTTGTTGAGCGGTTGGCCCTTGTTTCGTTTGTTCCCATAGTTTCTTGCTGGTGATTCTTTCCGGTCATCTGATCTTCAGTAGAGAACGAAGACAGCTGTTGATAAAGGTCTGCAACCTGTTGGAAATATTCTTGGTGACCCGCCAAGTTTTTAATCCGTATAGAAGAACTGACTTGACGTTTGTATTGAAAATCCGTATTTTGTTGTTGATGCTGAGTGACGAGGATTTTCAGATTGGTTTCAGGTTGATGAATGTGTTTCTAGGCTTTCCGATTCTCGATTTGACATCTTCGTCCGTTCCTCCTGTAGTTGAGACAATACTCCCTAGATAAGTGAAAAAAGTAACCTCTTTCAAATCCCTCCCGTTGATGGTGATTGGCGTTGGATGTTGCTGTTGTTGTTGGTTGGTTATTTTCATAACCTCCGTCTAGTCTATGTTCACCTGAAGTCCTGTCTTTGCTGCTTCTTCGACCAGTTTGTCGGTTTTCGCTTGTAAGTCTTCGATTTTGTGTGACATCAAACATAAATCATCCACGCGCGAAATCCAGGTCTTCTAGGTTCTTCACGTTGGTCCAGGATATCCCTGTCTTCTCGTTTCCCACTGTCTGACTCATAATCCAGTCCACCACAATTAGGATTATCATTGGTGATAATAAGCACCCTTGTCTGACTCCTGTGTTTACTCCAAACGCTTCGCTGAGTTTTCCGTTGTGGATCACTTGACATGTGCTGTTGTCGTACAGTTGTTGAATAAGGTGGATGAATATTTGGGGTACGCCGTAGTACTCGAGTAGTTTCCAAATTACTTCGCGGTCAACGCTGTCGAAGGCCTTCTCAAGGTCTATAAAGTTGAGGTAGAGGTTTGATCGCCATTCCATGCTTTGTTCGATGATAATGCGTAGAGTTGCAATTCGGTCAGAACAAGATTTGCCTTTCCTGAATCCAGCTTGTTCTGGTCGGAATTCTACATCCAGTGCGTCCTTGATTCTCTCCAGGATGATGCGACTCAGGATTTTACTTGGCGTCGACAGGAGCATGATTCCTCGCCAGTTCTTGCAGAGTCCCAGGTCGCCCTTCTTTGGTAGTTTCACGAGGTAACCTTTCATCCAGTCAGTAGGCACCTTTCCCTCTTTCCAGATCTTTTGCAATAATGGAGTCAGCATATCTGCCGTCGTTTCTGGGTCCGCTTTCAGTGCTTCCGGGGGTATTCCATCTGGTCCAGCTGCTTTTCCAGCTTTCAGAAGCTTGAGTGCATTCATGACTTCAGTTTTCGTTGGAGGATTGATGTCAACTTGCAGTTGTGTGCGTGCTGTTGTTGGTATTTCTGGACGGGTTGTAGGTGGTGGTCGGTTCAAGAGTCCTTTGAAGTGGTCCGCCAATCGCTCAATCTGTCTTTCTTCCTTGGTAATTGGGTTCCCTTTAGTTGTCTTTTATAGGTTTCACTTGTGTTGATCTCTTCCCAGATAGAGACTTGGTTATCTGATATAGTGTCCTCAGGTCCTTTTTGCCTGCTGCCTTCTCACCTTCAGTAGCCAGGTTGTCGTGGAATTGTCTTTTGTCCTTCCTGGCACTCTTCTTGACTTCTTTGTCCAGTGCTGTGTAAGTTGAACTCAGCGTCTCCTTCTCTTTTCCGTCTTTGCATTGAATCATTTTCTTTTTCATCATTCTCCTCTCCTCTATTAGCTTCCAGGTGTCCGTTGAGAGCCATTCCTTGTCTTGTTTCTTCTTTCTTCCTAAAACCGTTGAACACGTTTCGTTAAAAATTACCTTCAGAGAGTTCCAATGGTCTCCCACGCATGCTTCTTCCGTTATGTCACGTAGTGTTTCCTGCTTTGCTCTGACAGTTGCAGTGAAAGTGTCCTTTGTGGTTGTGTCCTTCAGTTTTCGCGTGTTGAACTTGCATTGTGGCCTATCCACAGGTATCCTCGAGGCTTTTAGCTTCACCTTGAAAGTCCCTCGTACTAGATAGTGGTTTGAACCCACATCTGCTCCTCTCCTCGATCTTGTGTCCAGTAATCTCCGTCTCCACTTCCTTGAGATTGAAATGAAGTCTGTCTGGTTTTTGGTGTGTCCATCTGGTGAAATCCATGTTGCCTTGTGTATATCCCTGTGTTTGAACACACTGCCACCAATCACCAAATCATTGAAGGCGCAGAAGTCTGAGAAGAGTTCACCATTTTCGTCCATTTCACCGAGGGCCTCACGACCCATGGTGAGTTCTTTTCCTGTATTGTCTCCTCCCACCTTCGCATTCATATCACCCATCAGGATTTTGATATCGCTCTTTGGGACGTTGTCCATTACTGCTTGTAGTTGTCTGTAGAAGGCCTCCTTCTTCTCATGTTCTGAGACGTTTTTAGGCGTATAGCATTGAATGATTGTAACCTTCCTTCCTTTTGAGTTGAACCTGGCTGTTATTATCCTGGAGGAGATTGGTTCCCACTGCATGAGAGCTTTAGCCGCTGTTGGTGACATCGTGATGGCTACTCCCTCGGTGTGCTCGTAATTGTCCTCTGGGTGACCGGAGTAGATTATTGTCTCTCCGGTTGGTAGTTGGCTCCTTCCACATCCATTCCATCTGCTCTCGCAGATTCCCAATACTTCTATTTTATATCTTCTCATATCTGCGGCTACCTGGGCAGCCTTTCCAGCTTCGTACATTGTACGGACATTCCACGTCCCCATCCTTATTTTCGCTTTCATCGAAAAGAGGCACATCGGCTGACTGGCTTCCCGAAGGCTGTCACCAGCCCGCGTCATTTCACTTCCCCGATTCCATCGAAAAATAAGGCTATCGTTTATATTTGTAGAATTTTTAATATATTTGTGCTTTGAAGTTTCTATAACAATTTGGTTAAGTTTTTAGGGTGGAGTTGCTAGCTCCACGCCCCAACTCTCCCTCTTTATCCGGTCCTGGGACCAGCTAGAAAACTAGTGAGCTAGTAATCTACGCGAGGTTGACTTGGAATATAACACCAACTTTTAGGGTTTAGTATGGCAAAATAACAGAGTCTTATAAAGTGCACGTTTCGTATTCGTTTTCGTCGTTATCTGCACTTCTTTAATACCGAGGTTGCACAAATTTCTAGGCTAAATAGTTTGAAATGACAAGTACTACGAAGATACCTAAAGTATCAAAATACCTAATTCAAAATTCTCATCTTTCGGGCGCGTTAAAATGATAAATGAATCCACCTGTGAATTTTTGTCTGGTATCGCTGAATTGCTCTTGAACTGTAGTAACCCAGACTCTATTTCGCTTTTGAATTCATGGCTGAATTTCCAGTCTTTAAAAATTCTGGTTGATTATTCCGAGTAGTTATCTTTACAAATGACGATGGTTAAGTCTCCTTGTACTAATTCTTCCTGAGTTCTATCTCCATCACTCGAAGTAAATGGTTAATCGTCTTACAATTTTATGATTCTGATGGATCTCTTGAAAATTTGCACAAAGTTCTCATGTGTCCGGTAACTTTTGAGCTCATATTTTTCGAAGTATTTAGCAACAGTACATATTTATGTATCAACTAATGTTGTGTGTAACATAATACCCGACCTCATGCACAAGATATCCATTGCTTCACCTGAGCATCACTGCTCATCAGTAGAGCACCCAGTATGGCTGATTTTGGTTTTGATTCGACGGCCATATTAAGTTCAGTTCAGATCTTTAACGCCTGGATTTAAAGCGTCAATTTTTTGTTATCATTTGGCATATGGTGAAATGTAATTAAAGCGGTAAAAATAATTAGAGACTTGTGATTAATAACGCCGGTTTGATCCAAAACGGATTATCTGTAACCGAAATCTTATATCCCAATAGGTAATTTGTTAGTCTTCCAGTAGGTTGCAGACTTTTATTTTTACAACCAAACGAATCTTGAAGAAATTTGTTACAGCCACTGCACAAATAATCCTTTGAAGAGAGAGACTTGCAGTCCTCGAGCAAAATCTGAAACAATACCAAATTGTTCTAAATAGACTTGACCAAATCCAA